TTTTTTATATACTTTTAATGTTTTCTGTGTTGCGAATTGAATATATATTGGACATTTTTGTGACAAATGATGTTTCTGAGATACTTATAGATCAAGATTGTTCCAAGTGTCCCGAAAAATGTGTGTGGCGTCTTGATCGTCATCTTACTGACTGGTGAGTTAAGGCTCTCTTACAACCCGTCGTGCGTGCTGAGAGACCGTGCGTCCTCGGAGTTCCTGTCAGGCGTAGCGTTGTCGCAGGATGAAAATTAAATCGCAGGGTACCCTCTACCAGGGCGACTGATAGATTTTTTACAGATATTCACAGATATGTCTCTAGCTAGATAGATGGTCATTTTGGGCTGTGACTTCAGCGTCCACCAAAAAAAGTACGTTCCACGTGCGTGTATCTTACTACTTGGCCAATTTTTTGCACGCAAACCGCTCGTAGAAGCACGCACGACCGGTTGTAAGAGTAGCTTTAGGCGTTTTCAATACATCAGGCGTGTTCATAATATAAAACGATTTTGTGCATTACACCCTCTGCGCATTTTTGCATTACATCCACCCACCTCTGCGCCGGCCACCGCTGCCTTTGCGCGCTTTTTAAAGGCTCTCTGCCATTTATACAAAGTTTCAGTCTTGTTCCTTGTCTCATTTTCCATCTATTGCCATGTATACTACATGTACCTGTATGCATCTGTATGCATCTCAAAATTCATGAATTGTTGACGATAAGGTTATGATTGGAGAATGGCGCCGAGCAGGAAAAAATATGCAAAACGAATGCAGTTTATCCACACAGTTTAGTATAAAGATCGAAGAGACAACACCGCATTGCCTATCACCAGTATTACAGTATGTTTACATGAACAAACGCATATTGCACGCATATAAACTCAAACTGTAACAATAAACGCCATAAATTGGTGTTGTGAAAAAAGACAAACTACTTTTACTTACACTTTTCAGTTAAGGAGTTTTCATACATGGAAGCCCCTGATGGCTTGAAGTGCTTCAGTATGGGTTTAAATCAGACTGCTCTAGGACTCTCATTTCTAATCTCGCTGGGTATAGAAAGCTTGGTGAAAACCTACACTGGTATGTAGCGTATATATGCTATCCCTCTTTGGCTTCGTAAGAAGCGATTGCATTGTCCAAACCAGCAGGCTTTCACTTCTTCTACTTTTTGTTTGAATTCCATTTTTACACACTCGAAGCAATGACAATTATTTCTGTTTCTGTTTATTTCTGTTTAGATTTCATTACCAGCCGAATGCGTGTATTATGGTGGCATGTTCACAACGTGGTGTGCGTACTTCACTGCAAAATAAATGTATTATGACGAGGCAAACTTTTCTCCTTTCAGACTGGTACGATTTTGATTTAAAAGACATGTGCCTGGCCAGTGACCCAAGCCATTTGGAGTATTTCTTGGCTATATTGGTAGTAATGAGCTTAGTCTTCTCCGTAGTATTCCCTTTGGTCACTAGGATACCGAAGACCATAGACGAGGAGGGAGAGAATTTAGAGAGTAATTGACAGACTTTACCACGAATGAATGAATGGTGCTTTCGTGGGAAAACTAAAATACCCGAATCTATTCTCTCTGAAAGCTCAAAAAGATGGATGTATTTGCTCAAGAGGTTGTTTTTGTGTTGGTTGCATTTTTTTAACAAATTGTAAAACGGTGCGCGACATATATAATATGAAAATTGTTAGTCACAAGCTCACATCGTGGAAAATAGTAAACTCATTTTTTATACAACTCCACATTAAGGACATTTCTTCTAAACTAATTTTTTTCAAATAATGTTGTTCGTTTTAGGCCGATAGCATTCTGAAAATGTTCGATATCATAATGTTTAATTAAGAGAGAACCTCTTAAAATAGGCCACAATAACATTACATAAGTGTGCCAAGGCAGCGCATGTAAAACTGAAAGTTTAAGGGTATTATTACCCTTTATTATCATACTGATATGATACTGAAAATGAGTTTTTTTCCTGCATCTAACTATTCAATAATGCATCTAACTTTGTGCTGATTTAAAACAATAAAAAAACTCGAAAATACAGAATATCGGCGTTTATATTTCCCGTGGCAATGTATAAGCATAGGCAACTTAAAACTTTAATCGTCAATTTTACACCGTTCTAATTTTGGGGCGAGATAGCAGTCGGTATGGAGCTTAACTTCATCCCTGAACAAGTTTAATCACAAAAATTGGCAGAGTCGACACTGAGTATGTCTATTTTGATACAATGTTGCTTTCACGGCTAATTCATATTCGATGAAACTGACAAATAACAAACAAAGTAGGCCCTATAACGAGCAGTTTAAAAACCACTATAAAATATGAAATAGAGCCACACATTAGAACAATTAACATAGTGTTTGAAATAAAATTGGCCAGTCTGTAAATAAATAAAATTGCAAGTTTAAAATAACATGTTTCTTAAATATATTACTTAGATATCACAATAAATACTCAAGACCTCACATATTGATCAGTACACCTTTTTGTAATGATGCAACATTAATATCTTTAAGTTTCAATTCTGGATAGCTGGTATGTCTGGCTGTTGATTTATAGATTCATATGTCGGAAAAGTGTCATAGCTTCGACTTGTGCCTAGAGCGTCATTTCGCCCACGCAGTCCTTCGGTTTCGTCACTTCCGGCCAAGAGAGGTCGATCTATGTCACCAGCATTTTGCGCGCGCAACATACGAAGTCTGCCGTCAACCCTCAGGCTTTTTAGGCACAAAACCACCAGGAGAAATATTATAAAGAAACCGACTAGCAAGCACAACAGGACCATGTAGAGAAGCTCCATGTGTCCCACGTTACCTGGCCGACAGATGTCGCCTCTTGGGTGCCAATCTGAAAATTAATAATAATAATAATAATAATAATAATACGAAGAAGAAGACATACATAACGGAAAACGAAAAAATACAAATTAATCATTATATTATAAAGACAAAATGGTTTAAATCACTTTACCTGGCCTTGTGTTTTCGATGAGTTTAAGAAAACCATAGGATGCAAAGAAGGTAAGACCATAGACGGTATAGAACAGTCCCATGGCTGTGAACTTGAGTCCCTTAGGGGCCTCTGTGTACACGTATTCCCAGGCTGAAATATAAATGTTAAACAATACGTGATTAGCTATTTTAAATTGAATTTCTATTGACTACAAAATATTGTATTTTATGCATGTTCTCAGAATAGCGGATAAAGGATGGGTTACAACCATGGTAACCATGGTAATCTTTGTATGGTATACCTTTTATTTAATGAATACCTAATATTCTATCTGTTTACTATATGATACTGTGATTTATAAGGATATATGCTCGCAATTTGACTTGTTCAGTACAGCCTACGGTAAGCCGACATTTTCACATGGAATATTTCAGCTCCTCTAACACAATTGGTCTAAAGGTCTCCTTTCTCTTTCCTACACTTTCCAATTTAATGGTTCTTTTTCTAAATAAAACTATTTGATCACGTTGTAAAGTGCCCAATTACACATTACACGTGCCATTGAACCATGCTGGTTGATCCTCCGTTGTTTACTTTAGACTACTTCAACATGCACCAATTGCCACGTCAACTCAAATTGCTGTGATCAAATTAAATTGGCCGACACAGATGTTTCAAATGAAGATGTGAACTTTTGGCACCAACAGGCTGACAGATCGCATGTCTCATTATATTAGATAAGTGAAGTAAACCGACGACATCCACGAGGGAATTACTGGCATTGTTATTGGACGAAATTGTGTTTTTACCCATGCGGTCTTGACAGGTGAGTAGGGGTCTTAGCCCTTTTTCTCCTCTTTTTTGTTTCTCACCACATCAAACCTAGGCGCAAAAAGCAGGAGGGTGGGGGGTAAGAGTATGTGCATCTATTTAAGTAAAATGCCAGCTCTAAGTACACTTTGGTCGTTACCACCCCCTCCCTCCGCTAGTTGATTTTTTTCTAAATGGTTACTATTATTATACCCCTACCATTCTCTCCTTAATTTTAAACCGCTTCCTGCGTGCCTGCACTGAGAATAACTACATGTATAAGAAACACCTCGTCCAGTCATCCGCATTTCATCATCCAAAATAAGATCAAACCTCTCACATCCTTAGCATCATGTAAGCAGGATCACTTATGCCATAGGATATAAAAATATATTTATTAACACCCAATTCCTTGAATTTAATCATCCAAAAGTATTCAATATGCTCCTTTGGTGAGTCATGTATTATTGGACCTAACTACAGTATATCAAATGCCCCAGGTAACAGCTTGGGGAGGAGGGTGCCCTGGGTGTAAAAGATATTACTAGAACTCCTCTCCCAACCTTCAATACCAAACATGTATCAATAACCACTTGCACACGGACCTTTACCCGGTGTAATGTGACAGAGAATCCCCCGTGATAGAAAGTCCGCTCCCCATTTATTTGTACAGGTAAACCTCCCCCTAGATTTTGACCCACTTAGGTCAGGCTAACCCTAACCATTATAACTAAATAGAAAGGGGATTTTCTGTTACACGGACCCTCAGTTTCGTTACATCGGTCATTGGTTGTCTTAAATACCTGAGATAACGGTAAAAACCTCCCCAAGTCCCAGCAGGATGACCTGAGGTGCCTGTATTAGCACGGTCAAAGTGGACTGTCCGCCGTGTTGAGTACAGTCGTTTCTGCGGGCGACCTCGACGAGGAGGGCAGAAAAACCAGAGCCAGCCGTACACGCCATTCCAATCGCTGTAAGCATCCAATCAAAGCCAAAATATGAATGAATTTAAAGAAGAGCGGTTAAATAAAGCGACAAAAATAGACCAATCAATCAATTAGACGATTAATCGATAGTTCGATCGAAATATTCATTGACAATATTTATCAGTTCTTTGATGACTTGTGGCTAAAATTTGCTTATATTCAAGGGTTATGGGAAGCAAATTTTCTCTATGAAAACAATCATTAGAAGTGACCTTTAAAAGTGGTTTTTCTTCTCTTATTACGCAGTTGCTGTCAAATTCATTTATCAGACTAATGCACGTAGAACGTGACCATGATAAGGAAATTGCTTCACCCACCATCTGTTTAGTAATAGAAGGTCAAGGTAAAAATACTTAAAGTGGCGACTGAACTAATTTGAAATCAATTGATGGTTGGAAAACACGTGAAGTCCTCAATAACAAATGACAGGTGCACTTACACAACATACTTTACATGTACCCGTGACGCCCGGCGCACACTCAGTAAACTTAACACGAAGATTAATAATTTCTTCTGTCTTTTACTTAAGAGTAGGTGAAGTAAATAATCCAACGGTACATTTACTTATTTTCTATCTAAAAATCAAATATACTTTCCAAAATTCAAATAAGACAATTTTAGTGCACAAGTTAACTGCCATTGGCATTGCGTTAAATGAACATAACACCAATGGCATCATCTCATAGCACTTTGACGGCAAAGGAATGCATTTAATTGGTCACAACAAGCTGCTCATTTTTCCCTTTTTTGTGTTACACATCCTTTACGGACATCTACACCTCCTACGAGCTTGTCGAGCATACGCGTCACTGGAAATTTGATTTTCTTATTTGCGTTTGTTCCTCAATTGGCTACATACTGGGTATCCACTACGACAATAGATCGTGCAGGGAATAACATTATCTTCCTTTTAATACACGCTTGCAGCGAGCAAATTAAAAGGACATTCTTTCCTGAAGACGTGGACCTATGCACCCCTTCATTGTCGCAATTCGAAAAATGACTTACACCGATAGGACCCAGCTAACACATTCACTCAGAGCGGTACTTTTCCGGCCAAAAGAGGGGGAAGCATTCAAACCGTCGTCCACCCCCTAAACCGTTCCTAATACATGTACTTACCCATTCTAACGAATACAGATATTTTCTTGCCCTTCCTTCTAAAATTCCGATACACAACATTAATGAGGAACGGAATGGTCAGTAGGATTATGACCTCATTAAACAGAAGGACGAACGCGCTGGGGTCGTCAATGTTGACCTGTCCAATAGTCGTGTTCAGTCCTGTCGCCTGGAGCTGAAAAGTCCCCAGTGCCTGTGAAGTGAAAGTGTTTATTATATTATAAGAATCTCTTCAATAAAGAGACACATTGCATATGGCTAAAATGGTAATGATAACAATAAGAGGTTTACCTTGCTCTTGGCAATATATAAAACTTATACTAAATGCAGGCCCGTAGCCAGGGGGGTTCGGGTGGTTCGAAATAACTCCCCTTTTGCTGGAAAAAGGTCCCCTCCTGGTAAAATTGTATCTAGGCACATGAAGGTTTCATGGTAAAAGGTCCACTTTTTCAGAAAAAGAACCCCCCTTTTGAAATTGCTGGCTAAGTGCCTGAAATGTATATATAGAATGTAAAGATAGAGTATTGAAAATGGAATTAAGTTAAAATACACCTTTAAAATAAGTACTAAAGGAAAATGAAAATACTGAGAAAAAATATATTGTTTCTCAATATCAATTGTGTTAAATTTAAAATTAATTAATTTTATCAAAAACGTATT